GTCACTATTACCAGCAGTTCATCTATATTCATCTCTTGGACCAGATCCTGTGCTCCACTTAGGACTAAATCAAGAATTGCTTCTCCTCTTGTGGGTTCCAGGACTAGCTGCTCCAAGAAACAGTCATTTAAGGTGGCAAGAAACTTTATCTCTGGCTCCCGCCGTAGGTGACATGTACCCAGTCAATAATGGGTAGTTGAAATCCCCCGTTATTATTGAGTTTTTCATTGCTATAGCCTCTCTAACCTCCCTGAGCATTTCACAGTCCCTATCACCATCCTGGTCAGGTGGTCAGTAGTATATCCCTACTGCTATATTATTATTATTATTATTCGAGCATGGAATTACTATCCATAGAGATTCCATCATACAGTTTGGTTCATTTAAGATTTTTACTTCGTTTGACTCAGTGCTTTCTAGTGCCACTCCCCCACCAGCATGATCTGTTCTGTCCTTCCGATATATTTTGTACCCTGGTATTACTGTGTCCCATGGATTATCCTCAATCCACCAAGTTTCTATGATGCCTATTATATCCATAGCCTCATTTAATACAACACACTCTAGTTCACCTATGTTATTATTTAGACGTCTAGCATTGGTATATGAGCACTGTAAAAACTTGTCACTTTTTACCTCTCTGCCATGACATGATGTAATTGAATGGGATCATTTTCATTTGACTGTTTCTCATCAGATTCTACCTGTATTTTATCATCTTCCATCCTCACATGTCGGCTTTCCCTCAGCCCTTAGTTTAAAAACTGCTCTATGACCTCTCTAACTTTAAGTGCCAGCAATCTGGTTCCATTTTGGATAAGGTGGGGCCCATCCTTCCTGTATAGACTCCCCCTTTCCCAAAAGGTTCCTCAGTTCTGAATAAATTTAACCCCCTCCTCCCTACACCATAATCTCATCAATGCATTGAGACCCTGCAGTTCTGCCTGTCTAACTGGCCATTCGCCTGGAACTGGAAGCATTTAAAAAAATGCTACCATGGAGGTCCTAGATTTCGATCTCTAACCTAGCAGCCTAAATTTGGCCTCCCATCCTTCCCTATCTCACTGGTACATACATGTATCATGACCACCAGTTCCTCTCCAGCACTACATATATGTCTGTCTAGCTGTCTTGAGAGATCCGCAACCTTCGCACCAGACAAGCAAGTCACCACGCGGTTCTCCTGGTCACGGCAAACCCAGCTATCTCTGTTTCTAATGATTGAATCCCCCTTACTATTACCTGTCTCTTATCAATAACTGGAGTTCCCTCCCCTGGAGAGGTATCCTCAGTGTGAGAGCGCTTTGGCCCCCATTCTCTGCTGTGCCCCGTCTGGGAATGGGGCCCTCAGGGAACCTCATTGGCAGATACTACACCAGCCTCGTTGGGGGCTGGAGGAGCCTGGGGCCGGAGGGGCTGATTTAAACCTCAATGGCTGATAATGGTCCCTACAGTCCGTCCCTGCCCTGCCTCCTATGGTGGAACTGGAATGGAGGCTGGCTCAGGGGCCAGATACGCTAACTCCACCCTCCTGGGGCCTCCCCTCGCTCGGGGACATGCAGTCAGTGTCCGTACCAAGGGAGCTGAGTGGGTCAGAGGCTCAGACCTTCAGGGCATATTGCAAATATCATGGTACCTATTCCCTGTTCACTCTCACTGGCTCTAACAGGAACTGTGCACGGAAACCTTATGGATGGTGCCAGGCTGCACAAACGTCACTGGGTGATTGGACGCTGGGTGCTCAAAACCTGATTGATGGGGGAAGCGGGTTCACCCAGCCTGATTGTGGGGATGGGGGGGATATAAAATCTGTTCGGGGCTTTTCTGCCAATGTCTCCTCCAGCAGAGAAGAGCTCGTGCAGCTGCTGGATCAAACATTCTCCATCAACAGCTGTTCTTCTCCCCCTCCCCCACTGCAACCTCCAGTGAAACATGAAAAACACTTCGGAAAAGAAACGCACAAAAGAAAGGAAATAAAAAGTTCTGTCAGCTACCAGCACATGCCCTCAACGTCTCCACTCCAGGCAGGCTGCACTGTCACCCTCGCTACTGCGCCACACACTGCAAGCTTAGCGCTGCCCCCCAGGAACACCAGCCTTTCCTCAGCCGTGTGCGCTCAGCCCTTCGCCAAGTGACTCTGCCAACAGCACCAGCTACTGCCCCAAACAGCCACAGCCACTAGAGGTGGGAAAGAACTGAGCTGGGGAGGGGAGCAGAGTTCAGGTCGCAGGTCGCAGTCTGTGGCGTATGGGGATGTGTAACTCAGCCAGGGGTAAGCAGGGAGCCTCGCTAGCTCTTGGTGTCTGGGCTTTGCCTCCCGTCTTGGCTTGGTAGTCTGGTTCCAGCAGCCTCCGCACTGAGTCTGAGCTCAGTTTCCTTAGTTTAGACATACGGTCATTTCTGACGAACTTCCTCATTCTCGATAAACTCCCCATTTCTAATCCATGGGCTAGTTTTGGGCACGACTACACCCCAGAGCAAGTGGCAGTTCATAATCTAAGGCCAGACCCTCAGTTGGTGTAAATGGGAGTGTGGACTCCTTGGACCGATGCCGATTTGCACCAGTTGGGGATCTGGGAATATCTGTAGTTCTACACTGGTAACTTGTGTCTCTGAATCTAACCCTTAAGGGCGCCTGCTCAGAACAGCTTTGCCGACGCTCATTCAGGCAGGAACAGCTGAGTTTACACTTGTCTTCAGGAAGGCACTCGAATGAGGAAGCTTTGGAGAATGAAGTCTTTGCTGGCAGGACAATATAATGGGGCCCCAGTTCATGACTCCAGCACACATGCCATCAAAGACTTCGCTGGCCAATGGCAACCAGGAGAGCAAAGAAATGTCTTTAGCCACAGGGAATGTGTTGTTCTAAAGCAGACAGAGGAGGAAATAAGACAGGTGAACCACACCCCACTGCTCACCACAATCCAGACAGGACAGAGTGAACCACCAGGAAACGTCTGAGAAAGGGGAATTCACTGAGCAGAAACTGACTTTATATGGGCAAAACCCACATGTGTGTGCAGTGTTTTTTCTCAGTGGAAGGTTGATCTATTTGGAAGAAGAATGTTTGTGACGCTGATTGGACCAGAGCTGTTCCTCTAGGAGGGGGCCACAAGAAAAGGGGACCTGGGAAGACCCCACATGAGAGTGATCATAGGAGGAGGAGCCTGAGTGTATTTCTTTGCCTCTCTTCACCTTGAGCTTATGGACACCTGGATGGGAGGCCTGGAGAGCCCCAAGTCCTGAGGAGTCACTGCCTTCAAGAACCTGCCGTATGGGACCATGGACAAGGACCATCTGTCGGGAATCAGGGCCTGCAGCAGAGCCAGTCTCCAGGCAACCTAATGAGCGCAGCTGGCCTGTACCAAGCTGCCTGATTGGTGGGAAGGGTCAGCAGACAGGCTCTTAAGACCAGCAGAGGCAGTTCAGTGGCTGCTCAAAGTTTTTGCCCACAGCTATGATAGCTCCGGCCTTGGTCCAGCCCTGCTCCTGCCTGGCCTCTCTCCAGGTAACCTGGTTCTGACCCTCAGCTCCGATTCCTCATCTCCAACTTCGGGTCCGACCCCGATTTTGACCCTGGGTTCCGACTCCTGGCTCCTGCCCCTCGCTCTGATCCTTGGTGCTGACATTTGGACCCTGGCTCTGACCCACAGCTCCAGTTCTTGGCTGCCAGGTCCTACTCTGACCACTCGACATGACCACCCACATCCCGCTGTCTGACACCGTCAAGCATGGATAGTCATTAGCTGCCTCTGTCATCTTCTTCCTGTGTTAACCCTGTTACTATGGCACCACCTGGAACAGGACTGATGTTCTGTCTGCGTCTCCAAGACAACAGCTGCAGACGAGCTATAATCACAGCTGAGATTTGGACAGCACCATCTCACGCATAGGGAGCCACACTGTGATCTGGATGAAGATCTGTTCTTCTGTTTGGTTTTTGTTAAGAAGAGCTACTGCTCAGAAAGTGACTTCGGCATTACAGCTGCACCACCTTAGATGACTATTTACAGCAAGACTCATGAACAACCCCAGTGACACTGACATCTCTGACCATTATGTTAGCAACCAACCACTCAGTATGGGCACCTCTTACGTTTTACTGTATACAGGATTTAAAAGGTTAGTTGTGACCAGATACTTCACACCAGTTAATTTTAACGAGAGGGAAGGAACACTGGCTGGAATAGGAAAATAACAGATAAGTTAACAGGTAAAGAATATTTAGCCAAGTTAGATCTATGCACCTCGGCAGAGCCTGATAAAATTCACCCTAGAGTACTTAAGAAACTAGCTGGAGCAATCTCTGAACCATTAGCGATTATCTTCCAGAACTCATGGAGGAGACAAAAGAGAAATGATCAGAGGTTTAGAAAACATGACCTGTGAGGAAAGGTGGAAAGAATTGGGCATGTTTTGTCCAGAGACGAGACCGCTTAGGGGGGACATGATAACAATCTGCAAATATGCAAAAGGTTGTTATAAAGAGGACTGTGATCAATTGGTGCCCATGTCCACCAAGGGTAGGACAAGAAGGAATTGGCTTAGTTAGCAGCAAGGGAGATTTAGGTTAGATATTAAGAAAAACTTTCTAACTCTAAGGATGGTTCAGCACAGGAATAGGTGACCTGGGAGGCTGTGGAATCCCTGTTATTGGTGGGTTGTAAGAACAGGTTGCACAAACACCTGCCATGGATGGTCTAGGTGCACTTGGTCCTGGTTCAGCGCATAGGGAAGGGTTGTTTGACCTTCTGGGGTCCCTTCAACTCCACATTTCTGTGATTCTGTGAAGTGGTGCTAGGCCCTCTGCCCTGTAGTCAGTTTGCCCCGTAGGTACTCAGCAAAGTAAATGCTTATGGGGCTGGGAGAAGTGGTAGGGCAGAAGGAAGGAGAACAGGGCATGCGGAGAAGACAGTGCTTTCCTGTGTGGAGTACTATGGGTAAATATGATATAATGCAACAGGAAATGAGTCAACGTGGTTTCCTGTCTAATTTCTCCAAAATAAGGAGGCTGCAAAGTTCAGAATCCACAGAACTCGACCTGCCCTGATAGCGTCTGAGCCACCATGGGAACCCGCGGTGACGTGTATCCATTGGGTGAGTGGAACAAAGTCCATGGGCTGAACTCGGGTGGGGCTAGGAGAGTCCAGAGGGGCCCACAGGTCTGTCTGCGCTGGGGCTGGAAGGTGAATGTTCCAGCTCGAGAAGACAAAGTCACGCTACCTCTCATTTAGTTAGAAATAGAAGTGTCGCCGTGGGGGCAAGAGGGGCTGGCCTCCCTGAGTGCATACCTGTGGTTTTGGATGGGATCATAGTTGGGGCAGGGAGTCTCTTCTGTTACTTGCCCAAGCACGGCCACGCTTCAATTTTTGGCACGCCAGCTGGGTCAGAGCAAGCCCGGGTATGTCCCCTCGAGCTAGAATTTACACCTAGGCAGACACTACATTGGTGTAACGTGCAATTTCCTCTGCTCCCTCCAGTGCTCACGTTGCACCAACTGAGACTCCATCCAGACTCACTGAAACACCCTTAGATTTACTGGGCCAGATTCCCGGGGCTGGCTGAGATGGGCTCACTAGGAGACCAGAGCGTGGAGAGTCCCAGATGGCTTTCCACCACTTTCACAGCTGCTGAATCCCAGGGGATAACTGCGGATCAGTCTGGTCCCTGGAAGCAGAGCAGCCCAAAACCTTCCCTGATTCATCCTCAACTGTCTGTAGCCCCAAGGGACCATTCCAGCAGCGGGCAATAGCCAGAGTGGAGGAGTACATTGGCCATAACACTCACCTCTGGGAATGTCCACTGTGCCTGGGGGCTGTAACATAGAGCCAGTGCACCAGGGGAATTTCCAGGGAGCTGGTTGAGCCAGATTTCTGTAGGGGCACAAACCTGGGGTTATGAAATATCACTACAGTAATAATGGTTCTTAATGAAAGAATTGACTTCATTGGATTTACACAAGAATCACAGTGGGGTAAATAAGCAAAATTTGGTCTATAGACAGGGGCCAGGAGACACATCTCTGTCTCTCGCTCTTTCTCTGTTTCTTATTTCTGTGTATAACATCTTTAAAACATGTATTTAGTTTTTATTTCTCTCAAGTATTTCTCCTCCTCGTCCTGTTCCCCTCCCTACCACCAGGGAACACTCAAGTGTCATCCGGTACGTTCCCAGGCTGGCAGAACGTAGGGCTGTATGTGCCGTGTTTGTGCCCATCATGAGAGTCCCAGACACAATGTGTCTCTGCCATGAAGCTGACACAAGCTTGGCAGCTCTCAATGGGGTTATTGGCACTGTAATGAGGGGTGGTATCATCGGATCTGGGTCATTAGGATCAGTGAATTCTTTAGGTGTGGGTTAAATCTATTTCTGAAGTGTTCACCAATATATGCCGGTGCAATATAATATATCACATGATTAATAGTTATGATTCACATTACATATATTTATATGGATAGTATGTGCTTAATGCATATAACATTATATTTTATGTACGCTTCTGGCAATCATATGGCCTGGAATGGTGGCCTGTGTCTTTCTATAGTCTAAGGGTACGTCTTCACTACCCGCTGTATCGGCGGGTAGCAATCGATTTATCCGGGATCAATATATCGTGTCTTGTTAAGACGCGATATATCGATCCCTGAACGCGCTCACCGTCGACTCCGGAACTCCACCAGAGCGAGCGGCGGTAGCGCAGTCGATGGGGGAGCCGTGGCCGTCGATCCCGCGCCATGTGGACCCCAGGTAATTCGATCCAAGATACTTCGACTTCAGCTATGCTATTCGCATAGCTGAAGTTGCGTATCTTAGATCGATCCCCCCAAAGTGTAGACCACCCGTTATTCACCTATGCTAAGTATCCCATAATACCTTGCATTAGCCAGGAAAACAGTCAGGATCAGCACATATGGGTGTTCTACTGTAGTGTCCCAAAGATAAGGACAATATATATGGGACAAGCCTAGGAGGTGCATCACGCTCTTGGTACCTGGAATTCTTGAGTCCAGACCAAAGAGCTAAGGGGTACCGTATGGTACCAGAAATACAAGGTAGAAAGATGGTAGGTGAAGACTAGCCTCAGAGGATGCATACAGGACCTCTTTCCTTGTAAACAGGTTGGGTATAAAAAGGATGGCTTTAGGGGTGTGACTTTGGATAAAAGTCTTCTTTGTAAGGCGAATTCAACACTGCTGCAGGAGACGGGCTCCCGGAAATTGGAGTCGTATTGAACGTCTGTTCCTGTAATATGCTATTACTAAGGCTAGGTTTAGTCACAGGTATTTTTAGTAAAGGTCATGGACAGGTCAAGGGCAGTACAAATAATTCACGCCCATGAGCTGTCTATGAATTGCACTATATACCCCTAACTGAAGCTTGGGCTGGGGGTCTGTAAGTGCTCTTGGGGGTGGCCCAGGGGCACTGTGGGTGCTGGAGGGAGGTGGCCCGGGGCACACCACAGGTCCGGGGGGTGCAGCCCAGGATGAGACAATAGGAGCTGCGGGGTCGGTGCCTGCAGGCAGAGCAGCGCACAGAGTCCGCTGGCCCCTCCGCCTAGGAGCTGTAGGGACATGCTGGCTGCTTCCATGGAGCCCCTCCCCGCCCCCCAGATAAGCACCACCCTGCACACCAACCCCCTGCCCAACACTGAGCCCAATCCCAAACCCAAACTACTGCTGCTGCTGGGGAGCTGGGGGTGTGTGTTGTTCCAAGAGTGCCCCAGCAGGGGTCGCGGAGGGCCAGCTGCACCAGCCGCTGCAGAAGTCATGGAGGTCACAGAAAGTTACGGAATCTGTGACTTCCATGACCTCCGTGACAGACACCCGCAGCCTTAGCGATTACTGACTATTAGCAATAAACCAGACCGAGATTGGTTATTTGGTCTCTTGGGCATACTGCATAACGAACCAAAGTGTGTTCAAGCAGTTGACCATATGGTTAACCAACAGAAGGGAAAACCCAGATGTGACACTAGGCCCCATATTCCTCAGAGGATATTGCTATGATATGAATGTGGCATAAGAGATGTGTTCTATGCAAAGTGGGTCATGTGAGATGTCATTGCCAAGGTTATGATTTACTGAATATGATTATCCTATTTGTATGCATGTATCAATTCTGTATCAGAAGTTAGGAAATTTGACTATGTAACAATTACTAGAGGGTTTGCACCTGGGGAACATCCACCAGACAATAAGCAATCAGCCTGGATGGGCCATTTAAGACGGACAATAGAACTTTGAAGATGCTAATCTCCCACCTTCCTGAGAAGCTTCCTGGGATGCTGCTTTGACACTGCAGGGTCATGTGATCATGTCACCTGGTACTGGACTACTAGTATTTTTCCACTAATAGGGGTGGGGATCAAACTAGGAAACAAAGGATCCCCGCCATATGTAAATCCTATTGAAGGCAGGGAAGTGAGTTAATCAGGTTTCATTCTTCACAGAATCCCTGCCCAGGATGGCTGCTGGAAACATCTTAGGCCCCGTCTACACTGGCAAGTTTCTGTGCAATAAAGCAGCTTTCTGCGCTGTAACTCCTGAGGTTACACACTGCCAGGCCACTTAGTGCGCAGACACTGCACAGTTGTAGCACTGTAAAAAACCCACCCCAACGAGAGGCGTACAGCTTTCTGCGCTGGGGGTACAGTGCGATGGTGCCAGTGTAGACACCTTGGTCCATTACAGCCCTGCAATTGGCCTCCAGGAGGTGTCCCACAATGCCAGTTCTCGCCTCTCTGGTCATCAGTTTAAACTCTACTGCCCTGTCCTTAGGTCACCAACTGTCATCCCCACCCAGTAAATTTCTTTGGAATTTTGAAAGTCCCCTTCCTGTTTGCTCAGTGATGCGTGCAGTGGTCTCAGATCATCTTTCCAGGTGGCCATGCCTGCTCCACGCACCAGGTGATCCCCCACTTGGAGCAATGCCGAGCTGCTGGACCTCATCAGCATTTGGGGAGAGGAGGCTGGTCCAGTCCCAGCTGCGCTCCAGCCGTAGGAATTAAAATACCTAGGGACAGATTTCATGATGCATGACAGAAAGGGGCCATGACCGGGACACATTGTGGTGCAGGGTCAAAGTGAAGGAGCTGCTGAACTCCTACCACAAGATGTGGGAGGCAAACCACCACTCCAGTGCTGCGCCCACGAGCTGCCGGTTCTACGAAGATCTGGACGCGATACTCAGTGGAGACCCCACCTCCATTGCAAAGGCCACTGTGGATACTTCGGTGGCTCACATGGCATTAGAAAGTGGACCAAGACAGGAGGAGGAAATCTTGGATGAGGATGTGGAAGGGAAGTAGGACCCAGAGGCAGAGGATGACTCAGAGGTCAGAGATGCATGCAGGCAGGAGCTCTTTTCTACCCACGAAGGAGGCTAGCCAGTCACATCTGTCGGATGTTGGCGAAGTACAAACAGAAGAGGAGGCCCCGGGTAAGTGGATTTGATTTTGGGAATCGCTGAAGGGAGTTGCTGGGGAAGGAGGGTTGCAGAAAGCCGGCTTGTCTCCCACCACATACCTACTCTGAGCGGCGGAACAGGCTGTTGATTGACGCCCTCACTTCAGGGGAATCTCCCTCAGAGATCTCCAGGAAACTGTCATGGAGATACTGGGCAATCTGCTGCCGCAGGTTTCTCAGCAGAGCTGCTTTGTTTCTTCCCCATTAACGGTAACTTTCCTGCTCCACTGTGCCATCACGGGGGTGGAGGGGGACGACCAGTGCCCAGTGTACAGCAGGGTCCAAGAAGAGTGATTTACCCTGCCCCTGTGGCTACTCACCATTTTGGGGGTCTTGTGGCTCATGTGTTCTTACCTGGGGTCAGCCAGTTAATGCCAGATGTGTGAGTACTGGGTGTGTTTCAAAGAACTGAATCAGTGCTCTCTGTGTTGCATACAATCCTGCCTCTGTAAAATGTTGTGCTTAAACTTTCTGTACCTGTTGCATTCCATTCCTGCCCCGTCACAGTCCAGCACTGCGGACTCCCACTACCCTCAGCACTCAACACCCATCCCTCTGCAGTTTGGCCCTGCTGAAGTACAGCACCCGCTGCACTGTACTCCAAAGCAGAAGGTTGGATATGATCCCTGGACATACAAATATCTTTAGCCATCCCAGGACCCCTCCTCCTCCTGGGACCTTCCCTTTCTTATCCTCCCCACTGCTAATGTTTTCTGTTTGTTTGACTCTCTCTTCAGGTTGTTGTTTTTTAATAAAATGTGCTGGTTTGAAAGCAATTTATTTATCAAGTAATTAATTAATTAATTAATCTAGTTATCTATCTATTTATTTATTTATTTATTGAAAGCAAAAAGAGCCCTGCAAAGCAACATACAACTATGTTAAACCCACATATTGCATCATCTGCACCAATCACCTCCTAGCATTACAAGCACTGCACTCCCCAGATAAGCAACAAATCTTAGTGGCTTTCTGCTTTAAATTGCTACCTCAAGGCATCCCTGAGCCTCATGACTCCGCGCTGAGACCCTCTAATAGCCCTGGTCTCTGGCTCTTCAAACTCAGCCTCCAGGCACTGAGCCTCTGCGGTCCAGCCCTGAGTGAAGCTTTCACCCTTCCCTTCACAAATATTATGGAGCATACAGCATGCGGCTATAAGGGTAGGAACATTGTCATCGGCCAGGTCCAGCTTCCCATAGAGGCAGCACCAGCGGGCTTTTAAATGGCCAAAAGCACATTCAACAGTCATTCTGCACTTGCTCAGCCTGTTGTTCAACCGCTCTTTGCTGCTGTCAAGTTACCCCGTGTATGGCTTCATAAGCCACGGCATTAAGTGGTAGGCTGGGTCTCCCAGAATCACAATGGGCATTTCAACTTCCCCTACGCTGATCTTCTGGTCCGGGAAGAAAGTCCCTGCTTGCAGCTTCCTGAGTGTTCCAAAAGCATGCGTGTGTCATGCACCTTTCCATACCAGCCTGCGTTAATGTCTGTGAAACGCCCACGGTGATCCACAAGCACCTGGAGAACCATTGAGAAATACCCCTTGGGATTAATGTACTCAGTAGCTAGGTAGTCTGGTGCCAGAATTGGAATATGCGTGCCATCTATCGCCCCTTGGCAATTAGGGAAGTCCATTTGTGCAAAGCCATCCACAATGTCACGCACGTTTCCCAGAGTCACGGTCTTTTGGCGCAGGATGTGATTAATAGCCCTGCAGACTTCCATCAACGCGAATCTAATGGTCGACTTTCCCACTCTGAACTTGTTAGCAACCAGTCGGTAGCAGTAGCTTCCACAGTGCAATCGCTACGCGCTTCTCCAAAGGCAGGACAGCTCTCATTCTCATGTCCTTGCGCCGCAGGACGGGGCGAGTTCATCAGACAGTCCCATGAATGTGGCTTTCCTCATCCAAAAGTTCTGCAGTCACATGCATCACGATGTGATCCCACCACTCGGTGCTTGTTTCCTGAGCCCAAAAGCAGCGTTCCACTGTGGTCAGCACCTCCATGAATGCCACAAGCAACCTCGTATCATAGCTACTACGTGTGGCGAGATCAACGTCGCAATCCTCTTGCCTTTGTAGTTTAAGAATAACTCCACTGCCACTCATGACGTGTTGGTCAGAACGAGCAGCATACTGGTCAACAGTTCCGGATCCATTCCTGCAGCCGGAAGAGGCAGGACACGCGATACACAAACCGTTGAAAGATGGCGCCAAATGCAGATAGAAGCACAGGGATTGCTGGGATGCGAAGCAATGCATAACGGGGTACTGGGGCAGGACCCAGGATTCCCCCAGACCCTCTCTGCTTTCCCACAACTCTTAGTGACAGAAGAGAAAGAGGTGCTCTGTGGGATAGGTGCCCAGAGTGCAGCGCTCTGAATACCGCTGCAAGTGCCGCAAGTGTGAACACACTATTGCACAGGCAGCTGACAGTGTGAACACACAACAGCGGTTTCCATCACATGGAGTCGAACAGACGGGCTGTCCTCTCTCAAGCTCTGCGCTAGCTCCATCCCCAGCTACGGGCTGGATGCAGGAATCCCTGGGTCATTCTCTGCCCTGTGCAGTGTGAGAGGCCGGATCAGCCTGCTCCCTTCCTGGCCTGAGAATCTCTGAATTAATGGCTCAGCCTTCACTCCCTGGGGGACTGTGATGCCATCATCTTCCCAGCTCCCTCATCCTACATGGAGTCTCCCCGGGGGAGATCGACCGGAGCTTGAATTTCAAAGCCACGCCCCCTTTCTAGCTCTCTTCCTAGGAAAGCACAATGGGGTTCCACAGCCCGCTGTGCTTCCCCTTTCACATCACCTCGGGCACTCGGCCCTGGGTCCTTTATCATCTGGTTCTTCGCACCCGTGTGTGGTTAATGACTCAGAGCAACAGGCTATAAATAAACACCAGCAGGAGGGGGCGGATCTGGGCCGATACCTGAGTGAAAAGCAGATCAACAGCAGCCTGTGTTGTCTTTTCACCCCATCCCCCCTCGGTGCTTCCCCTTTCCAAGTCATTACCCTTCGCTGTGCCTCAGTTTCCCCATTTGTAAAGTGGAGAGAATGCTCCTCCCTTTGCCTATTGCCATGAGCCTTTTGGGTCACAGACTGGCTCACTGTGTGTCTGTACAGCACCGAGCGTCATGTGGCCCTGATCTCAGTGGGCTCTGGGCAGCCACTGGCACAATGGGGGCCCTGATATTGGTGGACTCTGGGCGCCTCCCGGCACAATGGGCAGGGCCGGATTTCTGATTAGGCACAGGAGGCAAGTGCCTAGGGACATCGGCATTTTATGGGGTGCCTAAAAATTCAAATTTTGTTCCTCCCAGGTCCCAGCAGGTGGCAGGGCTGGCTGAGGGGGAGACAGCCCCACACACCCCTGCTGCTAGAGCGCTCCTTGCTCCGCCCAGCAGACAGTGTCACCTCCCAGGGGGGCCAGTGAGTGCAGGCTGGGGGGCTTGGGAGAGTGGGTCTCTCAAATGCAAAGTGCTCCACTTAGGAAGGAACAATCAGTTGCACACATACAGAATGGGAAGAGACTGTCTAGGAAGGAGTACAGCAGAAAGGGATCTAGGGGTTATAGTGGACCACAAGCTATATATGAGTCAACAGTGTGATGCTGTTGCAAAAAAAGCAAACGTGATTCTGGGATGTATTAACAGGTGTGTTGTGAGCAAGACATGAGAAGTCATTCTTCCGCTCTACTCTGCTCTGGCTAGGCCTCAACTGGAGTATTGTGTCCAGTTCTGGGCACCGCATTTCAAGAAAGATGTGGAGAAATTGGAAAGGGTCCAGAGAAGAGCAACAAGAATGATTCAAGGTCTTGAGAACATGACCTATGAAGGAAGGCTGAAAGAATTGGGTTTGTTTAGTTTGGAAAAGAGAAGACCGAGAGGGGACATGATAGCAGTTTTCAGGTATCTGGATGTGTGTGCAGCTGAGTGGCGGTTATCATCTGCCCATGGTGCCTTACCCTGTCTCTGCCTTCCAGGGCTCTGCATCGCCCTGTGCCTGGGGGGGACCGTGGCCCAGAATAATGGCGTACAAGGTAAGGCTGACTCCTCCTGGCTAACCTTCCCCAGCGCTCCCGGCTGCCCGGGGTCTCCGGCCTCCGCCCCCTCCGGTCCCTTTCCCTGGTGGGAGGAGAGCAGAGTCAGGGGTCTGGTGAGCCGGAAGCAGCCCCTTGGCATGGGTGTCTTGGGGTAGGTTTATAGAGCATGGTGGGTGCGTACAGGGGAGAGGAGAAGGCCCCTGTGTAGCCCTCCCCTTCCCTTCCCAGCCAGCACAGAATAGACACTGGGGCCCAGGGCTCTACTCTGGGGGCTGGAGTGAGGGGCAGATCCCCTTTGTAGCCAAGGGCCCTGTTATTGATCAGCCCGAATCAAACCCCGGATGGCTCAGATGTTAGAAGTGGCATTTGTAGGTGCCCCCCCACACCTCTAAAATCGGGCTGAACTGAAACCTGGGACCCACGTGCCCAGCTGGGGGGTGTTTGGGATCCGGACTCTGCACCCCGAGCCCAGCTCTGCTGCAAATCCCAAGATGGGATTCGGGCAAATTCCCACTGACCCACTGGGGTCCCCCAGTGCTGCTCCCACCCTGCTCCGTCTGCTCCCGTCCCAAGCCCTGCAGCCGGCTAAGCTGCGCTGGGATCCTTCCCCTCACGCTGGCCAGAGGGACGGATCCCAGCAGAGCCCCAGACACCGGGCAGCTAAAGGATCCAGGAGCCCCCGTAGGCAGGTCACAATCTGGGTCATGGGAGGCAGCTCAGGATCCAAACTAGCCTCGCGCCCGACTCCGCTCTCAGTCAATCCAGAGCAGAGCCGGGCAGGAACTTCCCAAGGACCCATTTTTTGCCAGAAAATGCCGATTCGGTTCAGAGGAATGTTTGGTTTTACTTGGGAAAAAATTGCCCGGGGGGGGGTATGAAATAATTTTCAAAACGAACAATTCCCGTTTTCCAGTACGAAGTGAGGTTTCGATTTGAAATTGACGCTAATGAGAGTAACGAGGACAGCAACAAAAAGGAGAAAAATTGGGTGAGATTGAAAACGTTTCACTTGAAGCGACGCCCGGCTCTGGCGGCTCTGCCTGTCTGTGCCGGGGGCTCCCCGGGGAGCCAAGGCCCCTGTGCAGCCGAGGGCAGCTTGTTGCCAGGCGGTGGATGGCGTCGGAGCTGTTTGCCAGGCGCCCAGGGACGAAAATCAGCGAATGGGGTGTGTGAAAGGAGTCGATCCCAGTGTGTGTGTGTGGGGGGAGGGGGAGCCGCTCTGCACTGGCTGACCCTGCCCAGCTGTTCCGGCCCCTGCAGGTACCACTGAGGACTGCAACAACCATCTGCTATGCCCAGCAAACGCCAAGTGTGTGAACAACACCCACTGCACCTGCCTGGATGGATACCAGTCACATGGGAATCACCCCGTCTTCTTCACCGACACAACGGAGATCTGTGACGGTAACGGGGCTCCCACGTTGTCCGGGGGGGGCTGGGACAGAGCAGGACATTAAGTGCCGCAGCAGCCAACTCCACTGACTCCAGGGCCTGTTGGGGGGGCTCAGCCCGGCTGGGGAATGGGGGGGGCAGCAGCACGGGTGAGCGCCGCCCTCCTGGTGATCGAACCGGGGCCTCCAGAATGAACAGCAGGAGCGGCTGCAGCAGGAGCCAGGAGCGTTGGGCTCTGTGAATTGGGCACAGGGTGCAGGGGCCCATCACACTGACCCGTCTGAATCCCAGCCTGGGCCCTAGTCAGCCCCTGGGTGTCCTGGGGCAGAGGGGCCCCACTGATCCCTGCCCAGAGGAGAGAATGGGGCAGCCCTGGCTATACTCCCCCTCCCCCACCCACAAGGATACAAGGAGGGAGGGGGCAGAGGGAGGCAGCCTGTCATCCCCCCCCCCCAAC